GTGGTTTATGTGCACAGACAGCGTTGACTGCGTGTTGGACAGCAGCCCTCTGTATGGACTTGACTGTGAGATGGTGAGATGCTGTCAATTATGCACTTAATTTCTACTTTCCATAGTCAAATCCATCCCAGATCTGCAGTTACACACCCAGATGTGTAGCAAATAGTCAGTACTTCAGTACTGTATATAGTACTGAGACAGATCCACATGATACACAGGTACCTTTACCATGATATTTTGTCTTGCATTGTATTCTAGATAAACTGACACCAATTTTACAATAGTTTCTCAACTATGATGTAGCATAATTTGGGTTATTAGCAATATGATTTTTATAGTATTATTGTTATTTTACAATAATATTATTTTTCTCAGTGGACTGTTTTGAGTTTTTCCAGCACATTCTGTCAGGTGATAGTGGAAAATCACTTGTATAAATGAGCTTTAAAGACAATGGCTCCTTTTAGACAGGTAAAAACATGACCAGAGCACCTCCTCTGGCCACAGCTGTCACTCTGCATAGATAACTGTATTCTGCCTGCCCACTGCTTTTCTAAAATCAGACCATAATCTAAACTGTGGATCAAGTGCCCTGATCTAAACATTTTCTTCATCAGTTGGTGCTTCCTTTGCAGTGTTGACTTTTTTCAGCCACTTTTTCTTACAGTAGCATCTCGTATGGTGATTTTATCACTTTTGTTGGCAAAGTGTCATGATCTTTCAGTGTCCCAGTTCCAAACTGTTCATTATTGTTTTAATCTTGTGTTTCAGTGTCTAACAGTAAAGGGAAATGAGTTGGCTCGTGTTTCTGTGGTGGATAGCGACGGGAACTGTGTGCTGGATGAGCTGGTGAAACCTCAGAACAGAATCCTCAACTACCTCACCAGGTACACACACAGATATATTCTGTTGTATTATTAATAACCAATATCACATTACTGTTTATAATTGTTAAAGTACATGTCTGTTGCCTACACTGCTGCGTGAACTTCTGATAGGTTCTCTGGGATCACCGCAGCCATATTGAAACCCATCACGACCACGCTGCGGGACGTTCAAGCAAAGCTCAGGGCGCTGTTGCCGTGGGATGCAGTTTTAGTTGGCCATTCACTCAACAATGACCTCATGGCTCTGAAAGTGAGTCAATACTGACATGTTGATATCTGCTTGCAACAACAAAAGAATTATGACGACAAGCTTGAGTATCGAGCGTGGTTTCCTCCTGCGTTTAGGAGTTTTTGAAGTAAAGCTTTGCGTACATAACTGCAGAAAAATTAGAAAGAAATGTTTAGTGAGACGAACTCTCTCCAGTTTTCTCTGTCTAGTCTCTTCTTAGGTTTTTTTTTCTTAGATTTTGACCTGTACTGTGTCTGTGTCCCTGCAGCTGATCCACCGGCATGTAATCGACACCTCGCTGCTGTACACGAGAGAGTTTGGACAGAAGTTTAAGCTCAAGGTCTTGGCCGAGACAGTGCTGAAGTAAGTAGTTTCTTTCTCCCTCGCCCTTTGTGTCTCTCTCTCCCCCACGGTGGCTAATGATTCAAATGTTCTACTTTTTTCCCCAGGCGGCAAATCCAAACTGAAGGGAAGAAAGGTCATAATCCCACTGAGGATGCTGTGGCGGCGCTGGAGCTAGCTCAGTACTTTATTAAAACAGGACCTCATCAGGTAGCTCATTGCCGTCTTGTGCATACACACACACACACACACACACACACACACACACACACACACACACACACACACACACACACACAAGTGGTACTGAGCTTTATCTGTGCTTGCTTTCTGTTAGGTTGTAGAGCGTCATCTGGAGGAGCTATGGGGACACAGAATAGTGGAGGAGTCCACGGACTGCACATCTGCCCCCACAGCAAGTCACAGGTACAGCCATTGGTACAATCTGTATACATCTTACTTCAGTCACTCAGACTATGTTCATACTAAGTTCTGGTGTTTTGTGTCCTCCATACTAAGCCAGCAATTTACACACCCAAAAACCGAACTTTGCAAAAACACTCTCCATGGTAGATCAGTACAAAAACACAACCTTCACATTTTAATTTGAGTTAGTGAAATTTAGCTTTAAAAATGACACAGAAAACGTTTCCAAAAATGATCCAAAAGCACTGTGGGTACACATTGTCTGCCTAGTTTGGTTCGGTTGACCGATAACTTTAATCCTTCTTTGCCTGAAATGTTCTTGTCAAAGGTCTGTGCTGTCTACAGAATCATTTCCACTACAGCCAGGGGTTTATAAGGTTTAATGCTTCCCTGAAAAGCCAAATGATAATGTATCTTCTATCATTAATAAAAGTGTAAAAATCCACAGCTTTGTTACTAACGGAACTAATTCTGTCCTTCATTCTCAGTCCGAAATCATTCCACATTCTGTTGCAGCTGGGTTTGACAGATTCTTCATCTTTCTTTGGGGCGCAGGTTTGCTGATGTACTGCTGACGCTCGGCCGCTCAGTGGCCTTTTCAGGAAAGCGTTCGGACATCAGTCTGGATCTGTCCTATCAGCAGTGGCATAACTCTGACAAAGAGGTGATACATTAGGTGCTTTGTACTCAGGACAAGGGCAGTCCAATGATTTGTGTGTTATTAGTTAAAAGTAGGTTTGTTCATCCATGAAAAGTTGTGTTTGTTCATTATTTTAACTTAGATGAAGATCAGGCCATATTTTAAGACAAATGTATCCATAGTTACAAATAATTCCAACTTGTGTTTTCTTGCCACTATATAAAATATTAGGATCCCTGTCTCCATTAACTTACAAAATGGTTCAAGGTATTGATGGAAAATCTTTCATGGCATTTTCACCTCATCCTAGTTCCTTTAATTGCATTCATAGATGAATCCCAGTTTCCTTATTTTATCGTTCCTCAGTCCTTGGAACCCGCAAGTCATTGTGGTCGGCTAAGATGAAGGGCGTCCCAAAGCTCTTATTTCTGCTGTGAGGAGTGAGGAGGCTGGGGTTTATGAGACGTCCTTTCCTCTCATCCTTTGTCTGAAGCATCCAATCACCAACTGATTTCAATAGAGGGCCACGTTGGTCCTTAAAAGACTTGACCAAAGGATGGTCTCATGTATCTTCGCTCCTCCAGGCAGCCTCCTCACTCCTCAGTCCATCAAGATGGCAGACTGGAAGGACATCTGAGTCTAGGGAGGAGTGACGAACGATCAAATATGGGAATTAGAAATTACCCTATGTCATGTCCTTTCTTCATTTCATCCTCAATCTCTTCTTCGTCTTCCTCCTCTGCAACTATATCTTCTCTTCCCTTAGGTGTTAGCCTCTTTCATGAGACAGACAAAGAGTCCGTTCCTCTCAGTTCTCCATTTCTCATCCCTCTCAGACCAGCTGAAGAGGTCTGTTCCTCATCCGGAGCAGCAATACCAGAGGGTGAGTCATTCATTCAGGGCTGTATAAATGTAAATGGTCTGACTGTTAGTTTAATCTTGTGTTCACTATGCGTGTATTTATCCTGCAGGTGTGTGCAAATCTTCGAGATATGTGTGTAGTGTTCGCTGGGCCGTTCCCTGCAGGTTTTCCTGAGAGAGACGTGAAGCGTCTGTTTAGTTGCTGTGGACCGGTTCAGAAAATCAAAATGCTGAACACGGCTGTCAGGGTATGCCTCACCTGCACTGTGATTTTTCATTTTGCATTTAATAAACAGCCATTTTATTTCTATCATAAATTGACCAAAGAGCAACTGAATACATCTTAAGACATGGTGATAATTACTTCCTGGTATTGTTTATTTATATGAGAGGGAAAAGTGATGACATGTATTTACTCCAGAATCTGTGAATTATTTCAAAACGTTTTTCTTATGGTTTCTGTGAAAGACAGTCAGGTCTCTGGCAGCAAGTAATGGATACGAGTACTTCTTCCACCACTGGTTAACAGTTATATTTTCTTCTGCTACTGTTAAACTAGAGCAGTTCACATTTTGTCCTCTCTCTTTATGTGCTCAGTTTTGTTTTTGTTTTTCTCTGCAGGTTCACGCAGAAGTAGAGTTTGAGCTGCTAGAAGGAGCTGTGCTGGCTTTAAACACTCTGAATGGACTTATTGTGCACGGGCAGTCTATCAAGGTAACTCTCCCATTTTCTTTGTCCCTTTGCTATGTATTCTCTTTCCATTACAGCTATAGTTATAGTGTGTTTGCTTGTGTGCATGTTCTAGGTCCAGAGACCTGTTTATGAGTCAGTGCTGGACCTAGATCTGACTCTTGATGCTTTGATGTGTGACGCTCTCAACACCAGTCACCTCTACACTGTTAAATTAAACCCCAGTATAGCTGAGTGCATCAAGATTTCTGCAAAGGCCAATGGACACATGTTAGATGCAAAGCATCTAGATCTCCTTACCACCAAGTCGAAACTGTCTGAGGAGACGATCAGAAAGACATTTGGTCACTTCGGTATGGTGGAGAGAATCATGTTGCCTGCCAAACCTGGAAAACACACAAGAGATGCATATATAAGTGAGTAAAAAGCTAGAGTCTCTTGGTGTGTTTATGGGTGTTGGCACAAAGATTGTTGATGTTTGTGTCTGGCTGACAGAGTTTGAGAGTTTAGAAGGCCAACGGGAAGCACTCACCTCTTCTGAAGATCTCTGGAAGGAGAACTACCTCATCTGTCCCTCTGTGACTCCGCTCCACTTGCCTTCGTGGGTTGCCATGACAACACCAGTGGCTACAGTAGATGCTGAGAGGGAAGACAATGAGAGGACCCACATGTACACCAGTCTTCAGGTAAGAAACCAGCTGGTTGTCACATATTCTTATAACCACTACGTTGACATATTGTGATTATAATTAATCTGGAGCAATACTGGATGTTTTTGTTTGTAGAAACATGAAGTTATTTTCAGTCAGCTTGTGCTTTACTGTCTATTTAACACGTTAGCCCTCAGTGTGCTAAGATAGGATTTAGGTATGTTTGTGTGTTATGTTAGCTTTTAGCTCAAACAGCTGAGCTTGGCAGCACCTTAGACTGATCAATGCTGAACAACTGTACAGCTGAGCCCGATTTGGATAACATCATGTGTCTTTTTCTCTGGAGCGATCCGCTGGCATTTTTGCCCCACTGTTGGTGAGGCTCTGAAGAATATTTGTCTGTCCAGTTTTTCATCTTGCCAGAAATGTTGTTTTCTGGTGCGTAATGACAGTAACAGCCACACGGGGCTGCTTGAACATCACAATTCAGTGGTTGTTCTGGCTTTCAGCTGCTGCCCTCTGTCCTATGTCACTACAGTTTTAAATAAAAATCTTACTGTGAAAACCTTTTATCTCAGACAAACATTATTGATAATTGAAGCTGAAGGATTGATAAAGGGTACATAAAGATTTACACATATTTTCTGTGATAATGAAAACTCCAGTATGTATTATCTACAGGACCAGGACATGGAGCATATGATGAGGAAGTTGGACCGCCGCCTGGGGAAGCTCTTCAGATCCCTCCCAGATGGCACCTTGTCCGTGGTTGTGCTGCTCGGACATACTAGGTGAGGACCCGCAGTGTCTGGGAAAACAGATACCAAGTTGTATACTCAAATATTTCTAAATCTCTTCTCTTCCCTAGTGCTTATGGCCACCATCATGGCTTGTGCTTTATGGAGGTCAAACAAGGGACTTGAGGAGAATGGTGATCCAGCTCTAGGAACAAGCAAAAACTTGCACAAACAAAATATATTCCACTCCAGGGATGCCTGGTCTTGTGTATAACCTGAAACCCCCCCAAAAAATCAATGAGGAAAGGAAAAGAATTTTAGATGCCACAATTTTTTTTTTAACAAAAAGACTCTAGCAGTATGATACACATCTGTTTCAAACATGTATATAAAAGCAAGTTAACTGCGGTTTTATAATATTTTTGTGACTTGGAACTGAACCTGTAAGTGTTTATTGCCTTTGGTTAAAAAAGAATTTTCAGAACAATAAACCTTCTGTGTGGTCATTGTTGGAAACTTGGCTTTCAGTTTTACTTGGTTTGACTTTTCACTGAAAATCAACAAAATCAGTGTTAGTGCAACTGAGGAAGTTGGACGAAGCACGGAAATCTGTGCAACACATGCTCAAGTATGGTCCGTTAGTCTTCCAGATACCATTTGTTCTACTGGAAGAAAATCAGATGGCAGGCTTATTCAGTCATTACAAACCATGAAGACTGTATCATACAGTGTCACATATGAGCTGAGCCATAATTGATATTATTAATGTTATTAGATCAGATATCACGACTTTTTTTTTTTTTTTTTTTTTTTTTTTTTTTTCTTTTTCTGTACAACCACAGAGATTTACTTAAAATAAAATAAGTAAACAGTCTAAAGTAAAAGCTCCAGAGCTCATTTTTGATGGAGGAAACTCTAATGTGATCACATACATTATATTTTGGTTTTACCATAACAGATCAATTTGAGTATTTCAGGGTCTACAGATTAATGAACTGTTACAGGGCAGTGACCCGTCTACGCAGAAAGGCCCTCGCTTAACAGAGGAAACAAGCAAAAGTAATAAGAAACATTCTTTAATTTTTTTCCTCTTTCAAAGGAAATATTTAAGAATTTTTAAACTTTCTTATACAAAATTGTATACGTCTTAACGTTTACAGCTTTTGCATCAGAACATACTTTGACACAGTTACAAAACACAAGAGTGTAAAGGAAAATTATTCTGTACAAAAAAAACAAAACAAAAAAACCAAGCACCTCTTATCAAGGGTCAAAATGCCACCAATAATAAATCACATTATTACTGATGAACTTATTTAGGTCTGATAAAACCAGTGGAGTTAACAGTACTCAATCTTTTTTTAAAATGGAAAAAATATATATAACTGACTCCATTAAAATACTAAATAACCCTGACATTTTAAACTACAGGGCCTGTCGAGTGGTATTTTATCTCACAATTTATGAAACTGATTCACAAGGACACAAAGACAGATTTTCCCCTCACATGCACAAACTCGCACTCACAAAAATAAGACTTGTTAGTGGCGACATATTATTCATATTGATGAATGATTCCAAAGTGACAGCATGGTTGTGGCGGCAGAATCCAGTCTGAGCACAGAATAAACGAACATTTGTGCTGTTTAGATTTTCAATATCTAGTGGTGGTGCATTTGTGTAAGTGTGTTTACTCAGAAGAGTTGCCTGCTCTTCTGGCAAAAGATCAAAATATGGCAGCTGCTGTTATGGCTTGTGTTCTCTTTCAGTAGTCCAGTCCAGTGGCTTAGCTGGTAGCTTAGGACACGGTATCCATAGCTGTTGAGTGAATGAATGAAAAATCAGGGCCTGCACCGCTTCGGACAACCTTACAGGAGACTGGCCCAAGTGCTTAGGACGAGAGTATGAGCAGGAGCCCAGCGTGGGACAGCGGCCCCTCCACTCCTCACCTCTCGCTACCAGACCTCTGGGACTTCAAACAGCGATGTTGTAGATTCAGCCGCTGTACAAGAGAAGGAGAGACAGGTTTGGTAAAGTCACTACATACCTTGTGTTCACTTTGGAGTCAGCTAAGTTGGCCTACTGAGTAATGCAGTTAATTTGCTTGGTGCTACAACATGTTCAAAGTCAGTGTTCATGATAAAACCACAAGCTTCTTGCCTGTACACTTGTCAACACAACATATAACTTTCTGTACATGAATGGACATAACATTTGGCTCTTTCAGGCTGGAGGAACTTTTTCATAGTTTTAGAAGTGTTGGATGAAACGCCCCCTTATGCGTCCGCATGACGGAAAGTGAGAATAATAGTAGTTCTTGATAGTTTTGAGGGACTTTCAGCTCCTATTTCAGGGTAGGTATTCTCCAAGCACAATAGAAACCATGACTGATTATTACATAATATTACATAATCAATAATAAATAACGCATGTTGACTGCAGCACCGCCAACTACCATTTTTTAAAAACCGTATTAGCCAGCCACGTAAACAGTAGCGATCAACAGCTATAACCAGCAGCATGGGGAGCTGCAGGCTGCCAACAGCAGCCTCTGCAGAGAGTTAGTGGCTCCTTATATAATTAACGTTAGCAACATATAAATAATGTACCAACAGGAAATTTAGACTTGGCCACAACTGCGTGTAGGTGTCACCGCGTGTCTACGCAGTGAAGGGGTTTATCGGTAAAATCTTACGTTATAAAAAGCATGTTTTTAATATGCATTCTAGGCAGATTAATAGTCATCAAACTCAAAGCTGAAAAACTTCAACTGGACTAGATTTCTAGCTTGAAGACATTTCACCACTCATCCAAGAGGCTTCATCAGTTCTTGGATGAGAGGTGAAACGTCTTCGACCTAAAAATCTGGTCCAGTTGATGTTTTCTAAGTTTTTCAGCTTACTATGACCTGGATGACTGAGAATCTGCACAGACATCAGACTCAAAAGGATTAACAAGCTGTGACTATCACACCTTCAGACTTCTTCTTCTTGTTCTTTTGACCTTTCCTCCCAAGGACTGATGGTGTTTGTTGCCAGATGACTGTCCCCTCAGCATTATTGGCTGGATCTGTGCCCTCAGGACTTTTCTCCTCATCAGGGACTGGACTAAACCGCACTGAATCTGATGAGTCACTGCGGGGCGCAGCAAGGATTAAGAGGCTTAAATCAAAGCAAACAGGATTACACTGACAGCATAAATGATCACTATATTTACTTACATTGTCTTTAGCCATCCCTCTGATGTCTTGCTCTCAACAGCTTCAGCATTTGACTGTCCAGTTGTATCTAAGAAACAGTGACAAGTGGAGCATGACAACCTGGATTAGCCTTCTTTAGATGGCATGCATACTTATCTGGTAAATCACAAAAAAGAAGAACAGATAGCAAAGTGAGGCTGAGAGAACCTTCAAGCTTGGGAGTGATCACAAAGCTTCAAAGGCCTCAAAAGCAAGACATGGTGGAAGAATAGCTCCTGACACAGGGCTAATGGCTGGTTATTGTTGAAGAAATCTTACAGAAGATTGGATACACACTGAGACTTCAAAAGTACCAATGGAAAAATGTATGCTCCAGGACAAAACAGTGACACTGGAATCTCTTAACAAGTGTAACATGTCTCTTAATGAAATGACATGACCCAAAACAAAATGCATCTGTTAGTTTACTTAGTCTCCTCAGTTTTAATGAGGATGCTGAAACATGAAGCAAGTGTGTGTGTGTGTGTGTGTACCATCGAGAATGCATCTGACCCGTCTGCCTTGGAGCAGAGGGACATTAATAAAGTATCAAATCTGACTAATTACTCAGTGTTGGTTGTGATGATTACTCACAATGCCACCTGCCCTCTCCCTCGGGGCACAATCTACATCCAAGTGCTTTCCTAAGGTAAAACGTGCGGCATGTTACCACACTACAGCTAGAAGGTTCACGTGCACATGTTTACACACCATCAGTTTTCATTTTCTTGCTGCATGTGCTATCTGGGTACAAGTAGTGACTCCAGCCATCTGTGATTAGGGCCTCCCTGCTGCCCCCATGCTCGCCCTGAACAGGACTGATGCTGCGTTTCCTCAAGCTCCTGGAGGAAACAAACCAAACCAAACAAATCCATATAAGCCTCCTGCATAGTTGTTGAAGCAGATAAAACCAAGAGTAATATGTTGAAAAAGGCCATTTAGCACAGGTGTACCTGGGATAGCCAAAACCACTTGAACAAGTAGAGGGGGTGTAGTGAGGCTTCACCCAGCTGTCCTCTCCCCAGGTTTTGGCCGTCTGGCTGGGCTTCTCCTTTTCCTGTTGCTTGCCCTGGATGTACTCTGCATAGGTCTGGATCCTGTAACTCTCTGCATAGCGGCTGGTGTTCATAGCTGCATGATGAGAAGAAGATGTTAAGAGATTGTGTCAACATTTTCTGTGCCAATGAGAGTTCAGTCTGGTGTGAGGAAGAACGTCAGACCCACCTATCTGTACCTGGTCTGTTTGACTTAGGGACACAAATGCTGATGTGTCATCTATCCATGAAACTTGGATGTTCCCTGGGCAGACAACAGAAGTAAAAAGGGCATGATGAAATATGGGTCATACCCGTTTGTAGACAGAATTAACATGCACAATAACGTCTTACCAAAGGCACTAAATAGCTGGTAGAGGTCACTGGTCTTCCATTCTTTTGGGAAGGTGACATACAGGACATGGTCTCTTTTCGGTTGCACTGTAGGAAGAAAAGAGATTAGCAGAAAAAAAAAAAAAAGTCAAAAAAGGTGAAGTAGAAATGTTTTTAGCCCTGTGGGGGTTTAAAAAAAAAAAAAAAATCCTTACTGCAGCTTTAGGTACGTCAAAATATTGTATTTCACTCACAATCTGGTCCTGTGATGTTGAGGTAGGGAATATCGATTATCCTCATTAGAAAAAGCCTTGAGAACAGAAAGTAGAATGACTATAGGGGCTTTTTAAGCATTTAATGAAGGAGGGTAGCAAATTAATTAACAGCAGTGCTTACTTGTTAAAGAAAGGCTCAATGAGTTTGGACCGAGCTGAGATGTAAGCTTTCGGTGGAGTCAAAAAGGAACCTGTGACAAATTGAAACACACCAAGTGAGACGATATGTATTTAAGAGACATCTGTTATTGCCAAAAAGGACCAGCGTGGTCATGTGTTACCCAGGTAGTTGGCCATGGAGATGAAACAGAGGCCAGTGATGTAGGCATCATACCCTGCCTCATGGAGCTGCTCCTGGGCTGTGTCGTAACTGGGGAACCCCTCGGCGGTTTCTAGAAAGGTACAGAGAAGAGACACCGTCAGCAGGACTGTACAGGGTGAGAGGATTTCATTTTCACGCTCATGTACTTACTCACCAACTTGAGGTGACTTGAAGGGGGTCTCCTTCAACTGTTTTTCCAGCTCTGCCAGAGATGTGTTAGTAATCAGCTCCTAGAAGACGAAAGGCAAAAAGCAATTTGTTGATGTAATAATCACAACATGCCGATTTGCTGAAGTTACACTGTTAGCCCACAATCATACTTTATTAAATAATGGTGTTTAAAAAGGCTCCAGTTGAAATCATGATCAACTTCACTGGTAAAGTGTGTCAACACAATAAATCCGATAGGGCTTCATAGTAGCTCTCAACACAATTATACACTGCAGGGAACAAATGTACAGGATGACAGACTTACAGCGACATAAGATCCCAGTCACTGGTATTTTAAAGCACTGAAGCAGATAATTTACCTTAAAGGGCTGTGTGGAAGCCATCAACTTTGTGTCCAGAAGTCTAGGTGAACAGAAAACAAAATGCAATGAACAACAAAGAGCAGAGAAAAGCATCAAAAAGCAGCTGTTGTGAAGACAAGAACACAAGCATAGAAAAAGAGTGGTACCTGGGGAAGACACACATTGTGACCTCTTTAAAGTCTTGAAGATCCTGGAGAAAAGGGCATTAACATAAATTATGCATCCAGTCACATTATTTAGCTTTAAACTGCTATTTCATGCCAAAAAGGCTCCACATTCAAAAACTCCATTGCGAGTACATACCTCTGGCAGAGCGCAGTAGAACTGGTGGATGGTGTGCATCACATCCAGCAGCATGTTGTGGCCAACCACAAGTTTACCCTGCAAGTCAGATGAAATGGTTTAACAACTACAATGCCGTGAATCAGCTGGAAAGATGAGTCATATAGTTCAAGAAACAGCTTTCCTGATTCCTGACTGTCTGTACTATGCAGTAGACTAGTCACTGTTTTCTGTGTCATTCGTGAAACAAGGAGAAGTACGTCAACAGAAACGCAGAGGTTGACTCACAGATTTAGAGACAGCATGAATGACCCTGGAGAAACCAACTGCATCATTTAGCTCCTCCTGTTGAAGGCAGACGTGTGGGACAAAAACATGATGTAGTCAGAAAGTAGTGCGTTCTCTAGAGATAGCAAAAACTCATGGTACGGTACTGTCACTATAGAAAGTATATAACATTTATCACAATATTAAAAATATATATATATTCTGGGGGAAAAAAAAAACAACCTTTCCAAAATAAATTTTCCTTTTAACTGAAAGTGTTCATGCTTTCCTTCTGTATTAAAAGTATCCAGCCATGACTTTTCACTGGCATTGAATGACTGAACTGTTTGCACAATTGCAAAACAAAAAAGTGTAGTCAGTAGCAGTACTTTTATATAAATAAAATAATATTGTATTGCAGCAGCTGGATCTTGCAGTGGAGCAGTGTTTTTCGTACCCCCTATGCAGGTTTAACTCTCCCGGGTTCTGTGTCACCAGACCAGTTGACGTGGGTACCCCTCCAACCTCTGGTGGCAGCAGTGAGCAAACTGCTGCTTAATGCACCAGAACGAGCAGAAGAGGGCAAACTACACTTGGGACAAGCCAGATAATGGCAAGATTTGTGCTTTGCTGCAGGTGTTTTTCCAAAATATCATGGCCAACTTTTTCAAAAGAAAAGACTTTAAGACTGGTTTTACATATGTGTGCCCCGTTTGTTTGCTCATCTTCATTCAAGTGTTGCACACAGCCATTTCCCAACTGTTTCTGTGAGATGTATCCAGGAATGATTCAGTTCTAAAAAGGGCTATGCTTCCTTCGTCTACTGGTATTTGCAAACTGTACAGTGTTAGTCAGTTTCCAGCTGTGTTGTTTTTTTGAGAGGGGACAAGTGAAACGTTACCACTTAATAGCTGTAAAAGCCGACTATGGAGCATCTGCTAAGTTCTGTGACATGAATGCAGTTATACTAGCAAAATAACCTTATGTAATACCCTGGTGGATACCGTCACAGTCCCACGATGGTATTGAGACTTTTCTATCACAACATAGTGTAATTACAAATAGTTACATTCTTAGTATTTTCCTTAACTACATTGCACAGAAGATTTGAGGCAAATGCAAGCATTTCTACATGTAATACAAAGTGTGACTGGAATATCTGAGAGCATTCTCAAGCCCCAACTCACCTGCTCTCTCTCCAGCTTCAGCTGTTCCTTCCTCTTCCTCTCCTCCTCATCTACTTTGCTGACCTGAATGTATCGCTCTTTCTGCATACAAATGCAACTCTCATCCATAATTGCCCACAGAACAAAACAGGAGGCAGGAGAAGTTCAAATAAAACATGTTCTAACCTTTTCTGTTTCCATGGTTTCCACATGAAGACCCTTGGGAAACCTGCAAGAGAAAGAAAAATGTTTCATGTTCAATGCACCAACACAATGACAACAATAATAGCAAAGTGTTAAGTAACACTCACTTCCAGTTCAGTGTCTGGTATATCAGCTTCCTCTGAAATCTGTTAAGTAGATATAAAGACAGAATGTACATGAGAAATCCACATTCAGCGTAGTTGTGGTATAACGAAAGAAGAGCCGGATTACCCAGTACATGGCTCCAAGTCCAAAGTTTTCTCCGAGCTAGTGAAAAGGGCCTCAACCTTCCCCCTGTAGAGAAAAATGTAGATGAAATTATCAAAAAATAAAGGGCCAGATATGAACATAGTTTTGCATTAAACAAAACAAAACAAATAAACAAAGCTGTCCAATGATGAGGCCTCCTTTCTGTTGGCAATGCCCAATATGGGATATACTGGAGAGGTAACCAGGGGACAAGCCACCGCAGCTGCAGCTTATATCAGTATGAAAGAACTAAACTGCTGCCACCATGCACAGAATCAATCTCCGTCCTCATACACAACCCCGGCAGCTCTTTCAATCTGTTAAAAAGAGAAGAATACTCCACATGTACTATAATACTCACACCACCCTGTTGATGAAGTCTTTGTGCTCCTCAGGTACATGTGCAGAGCATTTGGAGGAGGATGGAGAGATGTATGATGGGGTCCCCACACCGTTGGCATGTTGGTTCCTTCTTTCCTCTGTCTGCTCCCTCAGCTGAACTTCCTCTTCTTGATTTAGGTATGGGATTCCTACGAGATGCATAACAGTCAAAATTTTACCTCTTTTACTTGGGCAGTGACCTTGAAATCTGTGGCTGTGCTCCCCACTGACCACCCCAGAACAGCTGCAAATCTAAACGTACTTAATTGCATTTTTAAGCTACTCATTGTTGTCACCAGCATCCCCATAACTGGGAAAAGGTATAAGGAAACAAGTGAATCAGGTTGTGTTGCAGGTTCTGTTAAGGCTGTATAATCTTTGTAATTTTGCATGGCATCGTGGAGTGGTGATACCCAGACCGAGCCCAAAGGGACCCGTCAGACCCAAGGGTTTGGGGACAAATTTAGAAATTATGTTCTGGTTCAGGTCAGGTTCGGACATATAGGTCAAACTACGGGTTAGACGACTGGAGCGCTCAAATGTCTGCTCTGTTCAGTGATAAAGGGGACAACACCGTACAATCAACTATGTGGGGCTTGGGTCAAGTCTGGACATTGTACACTATAAGCTCACTGGGTCAGGGTCTGTTTCGGACACCACACTCTCGGGTACAGGTCAGGTTTGTACAGAAATATGCATCCCGATCCATGCTCTACATTATGTACATCGAAGTAGACTATAAAAGTAAGCTATGTTTCTACAAAGGCTAGCTTAATAATCAGACTCAACTGGCATTTCATTTTAACAGAGGTCAGGAAACAAAAGAGCACTTTGACAATACCAATGAGTCAACTGTTCCAGTACTGGGGACGAAGACAACTTTTCTTATTAAACACCGAGGCTGGGTAATGTTCAAAATTCCTAACTAGTGGTGGAAAAAACAATCTGAGTGGCAGAACTGATCTGAAAATTATTTCCTTTCCAACTTCAAACATTTTTCTACAGAAACACTCAAATGAATGATATTAGCAACACTTTATAAATATGATATCATCTTAAAAATGCACAACTGCAGTATGAAAACAGAAAAGGAGGAAGTGACTAAGCATTCACTACTGCTTCTTATGTGGGAATTCAATCTGTGGCAGACATACACTGAGGCTACTCAACATGTCATGTTGTATTCCACTCACCATGACAGAACACCTTGTTGAAATCAAATCCCTGACTGGCCAGAAAGTCAATACTGGAACTCTGAAATGACAAACACATTCTTCCATTTCCATTCTATTTTTACTGACTCCTCACAAAAAGTCAATGCTTACATAATCTTCACAGCTGACCAAGCAAATTTAGGCACATTATTTTAATCTTAGCTGCTCAAAAACAAGAATCCAGTGACTTACTTGGCAGATGAACTTTATGTCAGGGGAGGTCCTGTTGAATGGTTTTGGGAATATATAAAAATTAAAAGGCTTCGTAATATACCTGCAGAGACGTGATAAGAGGAAACGGACACATGAGGATTAGTGAAGCCATTTGAATTGCAATGATTTTTTTTTTTTTTTTAATTATAGCCTGTGTGCAAGTCAGACAAAAGCAGGATCAAATCATATTAATACCTACGTGACATATGTTTTCCCATAAATCCTAACAATAAATCACTTGGTACACAGTAGGTGTTCTGGGGCCACGGTGCAGCTGCCTGCCTACTAATTCAGGAGATGGCATAAGAACTGCTTATTTTACATAACACAAACAAATTTAACTTGTCCAGGTGCTGTGTCACAAGATTTTAATATGAGATGACAATGTTGGGAGTCCTTTGGGAGACAGTGCATCTTGTCCCAGAATATCAAGGTCAAAATTGAAGTTCTGGATTTAAGCAGATATCACTCACTTTGACTTTGTCTGGTCGTACTTGAAAGTACATAATCCAAACTGGAACAGCAGAAAATCCATGGAATGCTGGTGGACAGAAACAAATAGTGTAAATGAGGTATACAATAAACCTGACACACTCAAATTGTTGTAGGACCACAGAGGGGAACTAGAATCCATTGGATCCTCATCTTTGTGTCTGTGCTCCTCCAGGGCTTTCATGGTGCAGTGGAGGCCATGTGCCTGTGGTCCTATCTGCTTGGCAGTTATCTGCAAGTTGCTCAACATCCTCGATCCATTATGTCTTGCCAATTGCCCATAGTGTCAATATTTACTGCATGTTTGTCTGCCCTAGAAGACCGATCTGTCATCTGTTGGTCTCCCTGTGGGTTCTTTCATATTTTTCCACCTTAAAGATTTTGTTTATATCCAACTCGAGGGGCCAAGGACAGTGTTGTGTACGCTACAGACTGCAAAGGGAAAAATTATGATTTGACTGGAGGTGTGCAATAACTAACCAACTGTGCTGACCTTTTTAAGCTTGGTGTATCGTTCCTCTGGAGTGTCCAGCCCGTTGGTTAGTGCACTGACATTAGGACCGTCGCTTATCCCTAAAAAGACAAAGCACATGTCACATTTGAAATACACAGTGTTGTCTTTCTCATCTCCATTCATGTTAAAAAAAAAAAAAAAAAAAAAGGTCTTAACGTTACACTTTTACCTGAAAATTCTCCATCGATAGCAAGAAAGTCAGCCTCCTCTATGGCGCTGTACACAGTATTTAAACAGTCTTTATAATCTGGAAAAAGAAAAAGTGCATTAATAGTGGTTTGCTAGCGTAATGCAGAAGGAGTGCTAGCCAGCAGGGGAGCACGTAAACCCAAGCTAGCTGGGTTGTTAGCTAGCTAGCAGCACAAACACGAACGAATTAAAGATCATTGTTCAATATAAATAAACGTTAAGCCACAACTCCGTTGTTCTTTTTCATAATGTATATGGCGAAGAAAACTACAACTATGCAAAATGTAGCTAGGTACCTACTTTTTCGTGTCACCTCCATCCCTGCACAATGACTGAACCCGACTGACAGCTAACGTTAGCTCCCCTCCGTCAACTCGCCTTTTAACCGCTTTACAAGCGCTTCCGGGGCCGTAGCTTCAGGTCGATCCATCGCTGTGAACACCCGCTGTTTTTGTGTAAGCTATTTCTTTAGCGTTTCAGTGGGAAAAGGTTGCGTTTCAGATGTACGATGCCATTCATTATGATAAATAACGTTACAAGCAAGTTATTTGTTATATCAACAAATGTATATTATATATAACCATATAATATATTACCATATTGCTGGATTATATTATTGATGCATTATTGTGTTCATAACACGTAAGGTTGCACCTAGTAAAAGTGGACTTTATGTTAAATAGCCTAATTTATACAATTATAATAATATCAGTTACTGCTGCTGCTGCTACTACTACGCCTGTGTGATCAGTAAAGTGTTATATTTATTATGTATTGTTTTCTTCATCAGATTCTGAAAAGTAACTAGTAAATGAAGTTATCAAATAAATATTTAATGCAGTAAAAAAAAAAGTACAATATTTGCCCCTAAAATGTAGTGGAGTCAAAGTATAATCGATCAGAATATGAAAATACTCAAGTAAAGTACAGATAGCCTGCATCAAAATTGTAATTAAGTACAGTACTTGGTTACTTTTCACCATGGCATGCAGTACTGTACTTAAGTACAAATTTGAGGTACTTTTACATTATTTGGGTCTTTTCTTGTCAATAGGGAAACATGGTTCATGAAAGTATTCTATTTCACAACTCCACATTTACCTGACAGCTTTACAAATTAACATTGTTGCATACAAAACCTATGAACATCCTAAAATATGATGCTTTGTTAAGGGTTGATAAGAAGGTATAACTAATTTGCCACTCTTTCAGATAAACTAACAGAGAATGGTAGTTTTTATATATTTAACATTCAGCTACTTTGATCGACACTAGGGCAAAAAAACATGATGGATAAAATGCTATTTGTCTAACGTTCTAACAACATCCACATAAGGCTGGTTTGTGGATCCTACTTTAATTCATGATTGTATCTGCTACTGATGTGTTGTAAGGTAGTGTCACTGAAGACAACCTGACAGTGCTGCTGCACAAAATGGTGCCTGCAATTATTATCTACAATTTGTACCGTATGATGAATATAAAAAAGTCTTTTTCAGGAGAAAATGTCTTCATGTTGAAACCTCTTCCCTGATTTCACGGTGAAAGCAGGGAAGAGGTGTTCTCTCAATTGAAATGCAAAGATGACATTTCAAAAAAGTACAGACAGAAAGTTTTTGTTCTTTTGTTCTTTCTTTCTTTATTGAAGGGAAAGAAGAAAAGGGTTCAGCGTTTTATGACTAATGTGTTTTCCGGAGGCGTAAAACTGCAAAACTACAATATATATTTTTTGACAGGATTGTATGCATATGGAATACAAAGAGTAGTCTTCAGAGCAGCAGAACTATATACGGCCCTATGCTAAGGCAACAATAGATGACTATGTGTGCGAATGAGCTTCATTTTGTAAGGCTTGGTTTGTAGAGGTTTATTATCATGTGGGCTTGGATGTACATGGGCTATATACTCACTCTAGATTATATTTTTAAGATAACAACAAGCAGAGGAGAAAATAATTACAACTGAGATCCAAGCCTCCAGATAAAAGCATCTCAACTCAGAACAAATATCTAAAAAAACGAAGGTGGAGGAAGTTAACATCAGGATGACAAGCAAACTCACATGGAAAAAACAGAATACAGCACATGATGACACATACTTACATAAGTAATAAATGACAAGGCAAATTAAACACATTTAATTAAATATGGTTGATAGGTAGAAGTTAGTGAGAGGGAGCATGTGTGTGCGTTGGTGTGTGCTGATTTTCAACGGTGGGCACCCAAATTACAGTTAGAATGCCTTTTTTTTTGAATGCCCTTTAAGGTGTCATTTCAGATTTCTTGTTTTTAATGTTCCCACACACACACACGCACACATACTCAGCAGCACATTGATGAAATCTGTGATTGTATTTCTGAAAAACTGCAAACACACTCAGTCAGCATTCCCCAGCTTGGAAACAAATGTAAGTCTTAATGTAATGTGGTTTTAAGGTCTGTCACACATGCAAACAGCAATGTCACCTCTAACGGTTGAAATAAACCTGATTGAGTTTCCACATTTCTGTATAAAGCTACCTTCAAAAATGTGTGTATACTCTGTTCACCATGAGTGAGCTGTTCTGGACAGTGAGTCAGTGATAACACACTCACTCTGCCTTGACTCCGCCTGTTCTCTATCAATCTCAGGAAATGGATTTCTCTAAATGACTCTTGTTCTTTGGTGAGTAGGCATGTATAACACTGAGAAAACTTGAACACATTTTAAACTTTTGAGACAGTTTATACCTTTAACAGACTTTGAAGACTGACCTACATGCCCACACCATGCGCTCAGTTGGCAGTTTATTAGGTATACCCAACTGAAGCTAATGCAGTTTAATACAACAGCCCTGCAATAAATCCTTATTCAGAAAGGTGACCATTTAAGATTTTTGTTCAGACTGTTTTAGAGAAGTGTTGATTCAACTCTCTGATCATTTTGGAGGATATAGTTTAACTTGCTGTTGAACTGTACTGCATTATACCGAGAGATGTTCATGTTATTTAGCCTAGCCTCATTAATATAAATGAAGTGTTTCTATAAATAATAAAATCTCCTGTCAAGTGTAACTCCTAATCTCAGCTACTGAGCTGGTTTGATTGTTTTCCAACCAGGGAATACTATCTGGTTTGAGGGTCTAAGGACAGAGGGTGTCATACAGTATGTCCCACAGATTGTAAAGCCCCTTGAGGCAAATTTGTTGTTTGTGATATTAGGCTATAGCTAAATAAACTCTGACTTGACTTGCCATTGGTGAGCACAACGTCACACCTACAGTATTTGAATTGTTGACCCAAAAAAAACAAAAAACAAAACTGAAGACATGGACAGTGAGGTCTGGTTGCTGCCTAACATTTTACCACGATATCAAAATATTTAAAATTTTAAACATAGATTTTGACATAGGGCTGTATAGGCTTACAAGATCCATTAGTAATCACCACTTTAAGATCCCTGATTAAAATTCATCGTCTTGGCCTGTAGGAAAGGCAGCTGATCAGAAAAGAACTAGAAAAGCTGCAGTTATATACCAATAAAAAGATGATTAGGTTTCTAAGCTGCATAGTCTCTATGTTTAGTTCGTGTCCAGGCAGGTTGTTCAGTCACAGAGAGGACCCTTCAGAACCAGACTGATCGAATCTTGACAAACTGATAATGAAACAGAAAAGTCAGGGAAAGAATGTCAGCGAAACCTCGTGCTCTCGGTACTAGTAAATCAGTAGAAAGTCAAATGCTCTGTTACGTTGCCTATGTGTCCATACCATGAACAGGACAAGCAGTTTCAACAGTTTTTAGACTGATTTTTGAGGTGAACATGCAACAGCACAACCGTTTTATATGAATAAAGAGGTAGTTGTTGGTAGTACTGCTGGTTTGAGTTGTTATTTAGACTTGGGGTGTATATAAACCCCTCAAAGTGTATTACCTAGACCTAGAACTGTGATGTAAGTTTGGGATTCCTTCAGAGCTTCATGCTTGGTCTTTGTAAATCACAATGTCTCCCCGTCATTACGATGCCTGGAATTGTGAAGTATAACGTGTGAAACAGCAACTAATAATGTTGCACTATTCACCTGAGCACAGGTAAAATACTTAAGGCAGATTTGAATTTCAGACACATCATTATGCAGCCTGCATTCCCCCTGGTTTAATTTTCTATAACACAGTCAGCCAGTGTGTCAGAAGCTTTTAGCAGTGTTCTTATTTTGCCTTTGTCATTCACATTATATCTTTTACAATCAAAAGCAGCACTTTCTGCAAAACATGTACTTTTACATTTGATACTTTGTCAGTTTAGCTAGGAGTAGGACTTTCACATGTAATGGAGTATTTCGACATTGTAGTGCAGGTACTGGTACTTGACTAAAGGATCTGAATACCTCCTCCACCACTGGATGCTATAATATAACTCTTAATCTAATTCTATTATAGTTATTACATTGAAAAAATAGGCTAAATGCTGCACAATTTTTCAAACCCGACCTTCTTTATACACTCCTTTGTATTGTTTTGCTACTTTCTTTAATAGAACTTTGTCCAATTTTTTTTTTTTGCGGTGACATCTAAATCCATTTTTACACCTGAACTCTGAAGGCAA